ATATCAGTGCTTTGAGGCCAGGAGTTTGAGACTGGCTTGGGCACATAGCAAGACCCCCGTCCACAAAAAATTTAAAAATTAGCCAGGCATGGTGGTGCACAGCTGTACTCCTAGCTACTCTGGAGGCCAAAGTGGGAGGACCACTCTTAACCCAAGAGGCTGTGGTTACAGTGATCTCTATTAAGGGGTGAGGGGGCAGAGGAAGAACACTATGAAGTAATTCTAAGGATCAAGTAAGATAAAGAGTGAAAGATGTTCACTAGATTTAATTAGATGGGAATGTCATTGTTGACCCTGATTTTTTAAAAAAATGACTAGAAACAGATCATTTGGGCAAGTTTGATTTCATTTCAAAAAAGATGACTAATGACAGCAGGTTACTCAGTCCTTGATTTCTTTACTAAAATGTTCAGGTACGTCTTCCTCTTCCTATTCTAGACGACTGGCTTAGATTAGTGGTTCCTAACCATTTCATGTGGGATAACCCCTCTGTTATGTTAAAAAACCTTGAACACTAGAATGACTGTTATTTTTTAATCACTAGATTAAAAAATAATTGGATAAAAAGTTTCTATAGAGTCAATAATACTTTTAAATAGATGCCTTTTTATTTTTTAAATCACAGGTTGTTTGAAAAAAGAAGTATCTAAGACATTTGTGCAGCCAGGATACCATGCCTGGTGTATATGTGCCAGGGTCCCTTGTGATAACTAAAGCCCACAGACTAAGAAGCACTATGAATTAAACAGGGGTCCTCAAACTTTTTAAACGGGGCCAGTTCACTGTCCCTCAGACCATTGGAGGGCCCAGCTATAGTTTAAAAAAAAAACTATGAACAAATTCCTATGCACACTGCACATATTTTATTTTGAAGTAAAAAAATAAATGGGCAAAAACACCTGCATGTGGCCCAAGGGCCATAGTTTGAGGACACTTGGACTAAGATCTTCAAAGAACTCTTTCAATTAGAAAAAAAAAAAAACTATAATTCAAGTTTAAAACCAAATTGCTGAAGCAATATGGCACATCACAGATTTTATAATGGTTCAAAATAGAATATGATTTAATATTTTAAGTACCTCAAGCACAGATGCCATCCACTGACTAGATGCTTTTCTTTAGTCATACCCTAAAACTCGCATTAATTAAAACAAATATGAATATTCTTTGCATTTACTCTACAAGTTTTGCTGTCTCAGAAAAAAGATAATTGGATACAGTCTACGTTGTACATGAAAATCTCAAACCCGATAGACAAAAGGCTAGTAATTCTATTAGTTCATTTTACATTGAGGTAAACATAAGCTAAAAGACAAAACACACTGATTTTCCATTCTATTTGCTAACATGAAACCCTGAACAGACAATATTTGTCCTTTCTTCATTCCCTTAAAAATTATAGCTATTGCTCAGGTGAAGAAAGAACAGTTATAGGACATCCGGATTTTGCCAGTTTTTCCATCACATGCTTCCCTACTTACAAAACCCACTGAGGTTGCCAACTCAAAGGGTCTATTTAAATATACAGCAATTTCTCCAGCCACAGATAATAAATTACAATTAGTGATCATTTATTTTTAGATCATGTAATAATAACTCTAAAGACTAGACTACAAAAAAGGGACAAAATAGTCTTTTAATATTTACTGGTCATCAACAGTTAAGAAATACTTTCCATTAAAAAAATGGAAAAGACATTCGTATTGTGGCTTTCTTAAAGAACAATCTTGTCATTCAAAGTTTACAGGTGTAAGCCCACAAATTCCACAAGATGAGCAATGGTATGTGCATGTGCCTTGCCCAGTTTTATTTTGGGTCAAAAATAAATCATTTTAAAGCAGTTCAAGTTACAAAAAGAATTCAATCTTAAAGTCTAATTTTTAACTGCAGTGAATAAACACCGTGAAATCTAAAAATCATCAGTATTGATCCAGACAATGTTGAAAAACTGAAAAAAGGAATTAGGGAAATCTAAAATCTGAAAGGGACTTTGCAAAATTCTATCAAATACTAGTGGTACACAATCCCTGGGATGAGGTGGGGTGGTTGAAACTACAATGAAATGTTAAAATCTAGTTTCATGTATAGAAATTATCTTCATTTTTAATGATTATAGAACTGAGAACTTTTATGTATCTTTCATTCACCCACTATTCCTCAATGATTAAAATTAACAAATGAAATAGGAAATGACCAGAGAATTTCAGATATACGAAAATGACATAACACATGTGATAACTAATTCCAGAATCCTTTTGATGGCCACTCTCATAAGCAGCACTCAGAATCATCAGTTTTTAGTGCTAGAAGAAATAAAAGGGATCTAATATTTTAATCCTCTTATTCTACAGGGATGATGCTGAGGTCAGGAGATAAAATGACTTTCCCAAAGTGATAATTCTAGAAAGCCCAATATAAAGCATACACATCCTAGTTCTCAATCCACAGGTTCTTCTGCCATTCTGTAACGTGTATTTTCTATATTGAGAAAATAGATGATGTTTCACCCTCCCACAGGAAAGATCCTATGGCTTTCTCATGGCCTAGCACAGCAACTCACACACTGTAGGCACTAAACTACAGTAGCTCATTTCTACAACACCACTCCCTCTAAAACCAATTTGACTACCCAACAAAAATGTCTTCAACCTGAATAGTATAAAGTAGAAATGACTTACATATGTATAGAAGTGTATATAAACTTGCAACTGTATAAAAACACATGCAAGTTTGTATATACACATATACATACATACAAACTTGTATACAACTGGGAGTTACCTGACCAACTATAAATACGTATGTATATAACTGGGAGTTATTTGACCAAAGGTTCCCCTGAACTCTGAACTCCATTGTACAACTCCAGACCCAAATAAAATCCTCCACACCACTCAAGCTCAGTATTGTTAAATGCAGCCAAGCCATTCTCTGCACAGCTGTCAGATACCAAAAGGATTTAATAGTCACTTCAACAAAACCATACAAAGCAGTTTACCAGATACTCCAATGCTTGGCCTGAGATCAGAGAAGCTTTCATGCACGTTGAGCTTGGTCATGCATATTTCCAAGTGAAACAGAAAAATGAATTTAAGATGCTAGCCCAAAAGTTTAAGAACTCACTCCCATAGATGAAAAAAACAAACGCCACTCCATACCATTTTACACTGTAGAACATATCTAGATTTTTTTCTTTTTTGCTTTTGTCAGCCAACCGTCACTATAGTTGCCCATGCCCCCCCTACTCCAAAAAGGGGGAGTGGCTCGTTATTAAAAGGTTCTTACCGATCAAGTTGTAGGCCTTGGAAATCGCAAAAGCAATTCATTATCACCACTTACCAATCGTTAATGGAATTTGGCCTTCCTTCACTTGTTAATTAAATACAATCATGACATCTGCAAATGTACCTACAACATTAGGAATAAATGCTGTGTCACTCAGAAAAAAAGCAAGATTTTTCTGCATCCTAAAGGAAACTGTCAAGGAATGTCGCTAACCTGTCCCCTTGGGCTACCACACTCCCTACAAAGGCAGCCAGAAGCGAGTCTCCCTAAACTCCAGTGCTTGGCAGCTTCCGTCTGATGGGAAGCCCCCTCACTGGCACAACGCATCAAGGGAAAGCTGCACCCGCCAGTTTCCACATCTATGGCCCGGACTGCTTCTCACCATTTCCAGGTGAGCACCAGGACCTTCGGGGTGTCCGCTGCCCGGGGCCGGACTGGCCCTACCCTCTGGGGTCTTCCGCTCGCTGTTGCGCTTCAAGCCGCCGGCATCGCCCCGGCCTCCGGTCTCCCGGCGCCGCCGCTGTCGGTTCCACAGGTACACGGCACCCGCGCCCAGCAGCAGGGGAGCCCCGACAGCCAGCGCCAGCTGCCATCGCGGCAGGCCCCCTGTTCCCGGGCCCGCAGTCCCCCCGCCGCCGCCCACCCCACTCCCAGGGCTGGGTGCAGCCGCTGCGACCACCGCCGCCTCCACAGGCTTAGAGGCGGCCATGACGAGTGTCCTCCGCCACCGCCTCCCTGCCAGTCACGGGCGCCACAGTCACCAGGCAGCGTGCGAAAGGAGACCAGATGGAGGGAAGGAAGGCAATGAGCGAGTGAACACGTTAGGTAGCGAGAGCGGACGACAGAAAAGGGCCAGAGGTCACCGGAAGCCCAGGGCATGCCGGGCCAGACTCGACCGTCCTTCTCCTCCCCTCTCAACCGTAGAAGGAGAGGAGGAGGAAGGTAATCACTTCCGGGTTAAGGGAAAATGTGGGTGTGAGGTGGGAGTCCTGGGAAGCTGTTTCTCTTTCCTTTCGCCCAGCTGCTGCTTGGGAGAATCACTCCTGGAGTCTTGGGCGTCCCGTGGTAGCCAATGTTGTTCCCTCCACCTTCAGGAAAGAAGGGCAGACGGCCCTCTTGCCTAATGAAGTGGAGGAGGGGCGCGTACACAGCCGGTTTGTGGTGCGCAGGCGACCAGAACCAAGGAAAAAGCTTCGCAGCGACAGTATGAATGGGCGGGAGTGGCAGAAGAGTTGTGAAGGTTATTGGCTGGCAGGAACGGTGGGCGGGGCATAGGCAGAGCTGCCCAGTTTATTGGTAGATTCGGGACCCTGTTTTCTCGTTACAGCCACGTTGGGGCTTCTCCGACCTGGGCGGCCGTTAGCTCGGTTCTCTGTCCGCGTGTCGGGGAAACCAACGGACTGGAAGGACTTTTGTGAGGAAAGAGCTCAGAGCTGAAGATAACCTGCTGTGTCACCGAACTTGTTGTCACTACCACAGCCAGATTTTAGTTCGGACGAGTTTGAGGTTATGGGGGAGATAGCAGATGTCGAGACTAGGTGGAAGTATCGCCAAGTCTAAACGGCTTGAAACGGTCCCTGCGGCTCCCCGTCTGCACCGGTTGCGAAAGCGGTGACGTCTGTGTTGTTATGAGCTTCTTGAACTGAATTGGTAGAAATGCGAAGCCCCAGGGTTCCCACCTGCTTGGAGCCCGCCTTAACGTATCTTGAGGTGGTTTCCGCCTGACACCCCAGGCCACATCTTGCTCCTTGGAGCACCCGCGCCTTCCCCAGCCCTCTGGCCCTCACACCCCCCATGTTTTGCAGTAGCTGTCTCAGCCCTCGTCTCGTCTTATTCGCAAATCATAATTTCAGTTCGCAGATTTCATATGTCTAATAGTTTTCTCAAGTCTATTTCCCAGGCTCTGCACCAGATCTCTTAGAATGTAAAAATTACCCTTGCGAAACGTTGTTGGGAATTCACGGTATTTTCAAGAAGAAAATTGAAAGCACCAAAATGGACTGATTAGAATAGAATGGCCTAATTTGAAAGAATTTCAGGATCATTGCTCTTCTCTTTGCTTCATGTAGGTTCCTATTAGTAACTGCTTTCAGGCAATAGGGTTTCCTAGCAACAGACTGAAAAAAAGGACTAAAAATAATAGCAATGGAATTGAGTTAATCGTTACAGACAATCGGCTTCTCTCCACTCCTGATCCCCCAACCCCAAAAGGCAAGTCTGCTCCTTGTGATCTCTGCTTTGACTTTTAAGGACAGAAAGTTAGGATTTTTGTTTCCTGAAATTTCAGTTTTTCTGTGATCTCATGGAGAATTGTAGAATGCTAGTAATTGCAAACTAGTAATAGGAACTAAAACATACTTGACTTTTTTTTTTTAAAAAAAACCTTTTATTTATTCAAATAGGTAGTCGATTGTTATGGTTAAAATCCAAAACTTACAAAAGGTTTACTGAAAAATTTCCCTCCAATCTGTCTCCAGCAGAGCAATTTCCTCTCCAAAGGGAATCAATATTAGAGTTTCTTGAAACATTTTTAAAATTAACTAATATTTATCAAAAGGGCTAATTTTGTTTGGTTTATTTTTAAGATTGTCACTAATAAATGAATTCATTCTTGTTACTTTTATGCATTGTTAAACATCTCATTTCCATTCCCTATCCTAAGTATCTCTTTTCTCCCATATTCTCCTCCATTTTCTCACTGATAGTAGTGTAATTGAAAGTGTCACTTACTGGCTTTGGGATCTTACTGACCTGTTGCATATTTTCTAACCTGTGAAATGGTGAGAACACATACTTACCAGGTAACAGTAAAGATTTAGATAGCATTTGAAGTTCTTTTGATGTTTGTTACAAAATAGTAGACATTTGATGCTTAGTTGTTTTTCCAAATTTCAAAAGAAATAAGTAAAATACTCTGTTTCCTTTCTAAAAAATTGAAGTTTTATATATGTGAACACAGACATTTTCTTGGTAGATTAATAGAATTCAACAGAAGAAGCTTTCTTCTCCTCTTCTCTGATCTGTATCTTAGGAGGCAGTTGAATGAGGTAGAAAGTCTAGTGGACTGGGATTTGGAAGACCTGAGTTCTGATTCTAGATTTTATACTACTGAGCAATGTGTGCAACTGTGGGCAACTCTGCTTTCTATAAAATGTGAGGCATGGATTTGATTTCTGAGTCTCCTTGTTGTTTTAAAATTATATGATTCTGTCCCCTCAACTATCATTGCTATATGATTGGTAGAGCTGGTAGGTAGCTGGTTGATGGGTGTCCAAACCTTCTAGTGAGTACACAAACATGTTTATATTAAGCGCTTAGTATACACAACTCTATTCTCTTTCAACTCTCTTGGGTTTTCATTCTGGTTTTCTTCACTGAAAAATTACTGGAGAGAACTGTCTATATCTGTTAACTCTACTTATTTATTACTCATTTCTCCCAAAATCTGTTGTAATGTAGTTTGTGATTTTATAATTAGTTTGAAAGTGCTTTACAATTCATTAAATTCATTGTTCCTTTTTGGCGATCATATATTTTACTGGATACATTGTTTTCTTTGGCTTTCAGGAAACTAGAGTCTTCCTGGTTCTTCTACTCCCTAACCAATCTCTATTGATCATTGCTGTCCAACATAGCTTTCTATGATGTTGGAAATGCTTTATATTTATGATGTCCAATATGGTAGCCATTAGCCACATGTGGCTATTGAGCACTTGAAATGTATTATAGCTTGTATAACTAAGTAACTATATTTTTCATTATTTAATTTTAATTGATTTACATAGCTTCATGTGGCTAATGGCTACCATACTGGACAGCACAGCTCTAGATCTTCCTCAAGTACAGGAATTTGTAAGAATTTTTCTTTTTTGTCTGTAATCTCTCCATTAGTAACCAAAATAAATCTCTTCACTTCAGGTACTATTTCTCTGCAGATAATCACTGTCTACATATCTCTTGGCATACCTTCTCTCTTTACCTCTAGCCCTGTATTTCCTACTATTTACTGAGCTGCTTTGCTTAGATGCCTAATTTTTGTCAAAGATATAATTCATCATCTTCCCTCCTCATTCTTTCTCTTTGTGTAATCTGTTTTTCTCATAATACCACTGTAACCTTAGTGGTCACTCATACTTAAAACCTTAGACCTTTTCAGACCTTTCTGTTTTTCAACCCTACCTACCCAAGCACATGTGATTATGCTGATCTATACACATGTAAATACAAAAATCAAGCTGTGAAATCTTCAACAAGATCAACTTCTTTGTAATATCTTTTTTTTTGTATTTAGCTTCTTTTTCATGTCCTCTGCCACTTCCCTAGTTCAGATATGTGAAAACATCTAAAAGTATGTATAACACATAGCAGATGCTCAATAAATAGTTTCTTCCTATCTTAAGTTCAGACTAACAAAAATATCATATACTGGTAAGCTTATAAACTACAGAAATTTATTTCTTATAGTTCTGTAGGGCAGAAGTTTGAAATCAGGGTGCCAGCATGGTCAAGTTCTGTGACGGCCCTCTTATGGGTTGCAGACTGCCAATTTACCATTGTGTCCTCAAATAATGAAAAGGGAAAAGAAAGCTCTCTGAAGTCTCTTTTATAAGGGCATTAATCTCATTTTAAAGGTTTCATCCTCATGACCTAATCACTCCCCAAAGGCCCTCTCTCCTAATACTGTCACAATGGTGCTTAGGATTTCAACATACGAATTTAGGGAAAGGGGGGACACAAACATTTAGTCTATAACACTTCCCTTCTTTTTTCTCTTTTACCTATTTCTTTCATCTTTCCTAAACCCTATATTTGTTTCCCAGATAGTTTCCTTGCTTCTCTTTTAAGTGTCACCCTGCCCTTTGATATCAGATTACTCTTCCTGCAGCATAACTGCAATTTCATTCTTGAGTTCAAAGACTTTTTAGACCCTCTCCACTTTCACTATAAGGTTTAATGTCTACTCCTACCCATACCTCCCCTCATGCACTTCGTCTCTCTCCTTGATTCACATTATAAACATCCAACAGTGTTTAAAATTACTTATGTGACCCCCTCAATTGGATGAAAGCCCCGTGAGGACAGAAACTTGTTCATTTTGTATTCTGAGTGCCCAGAAAATAGTCAATATGATGATTAAATTTTATGTGTCAATTTGACTGGGCCACAGAGTGCCCAGATAGATGGTCAGACATTATTCTGGGTGTGTCTGTGAGAATGTTTCTAATTCCTTCCTTTTTATTTTTAGTGTATCATGATAGATACACTAAAATCATAATAGATACAGGAGCAGCCCTGGTTTCTCCTGTGTTTCAAAGCATGGGCCTGACCCTCCAGTTTTGGTAGGCCTAGATGCCCTACCTAGTACCTCAGGGGCAGGGCTTCCCTGGCAGAGAGCTTGTAGCCCCCTCAAGCTAAGGGGGCAGGACTGCCTTGCAGAGCCACGAGAGTGATGTTGCCACCCCAGTGGGCATGGAGGGCAGAGGATTGAACTAAAGAGGATTCTTCTCTAGCCTTAAGAACTAATGGAATTTTCCTTACTAGGTTTTGGACTTGCTTAGGACCCATCACCTCTTCCTTCTTTGCTATTTCTTCCTTTTGGAATGGGAATGTCTATTCTATACCTGTCCCATTATTGTATTTTAGAAGCCCACAACTGTCTAGTTTCACATTACAGCTGGAGAGGAGTTTGGCCTCAGGATGAAACATACCTCAAGTCTTACCTGTATCTGACTTAGATGATATTTAAGTGAGAGTTTGGACCTTAGACTTTGGAGTTGTTGTAATGCATTAAGACTTTTGGTGCCGTCGGGATGGGATGAATGCATTTGCATGTGAGAAGGACATGAATTTTGGAGGCCAGGTGCTCCACTCTCAGTACCAAAGTGTGAATGGTATGTATGGATCTCTTTAGCAAAATACCACAGACTAGGTGGCATAAACAACAGAAATTTATTTTTTACATTTCTGGAGGCTGAGAAGTGCCAGATCAAGGTTCTGATCTATTTGATGTCTGGTCAGGGCTTTCTTCCTGGTTTACAGTTAGCCAGTTTCTCTCTGTTTCTCACATGATCTCTTCTTCACATGCATGCAGAGAGAGAGAGAGTAAACTCTCTGCAGTTTCTTATAAGGGCACAGATTCCATCAGACCAGGGCCCCATCCTCATATAACCCTAATTATCTGCCCAAAGCCACATCTCCAAACACCCTCACATTTGGGGTTAGGTCTTTAACATATGTATTTTTGAGGAAATATTTGGACAAAAATATTTAGTCCATAACAGCATATAGTAAGCACTCAATACTGTTTTAAATAAATGAATATTCTACTAAGAGTATCAAAGATGGAAAAAGATTGTCTTAGTTCATTTTGTGTTGCTATATCAGAATACCTGAGGCTGGGTAATTTATAAAGAAAAGAGGTTTATTTAGCTTATGATTTTGCAGGCTGAGAAGTATGAGAAACATGATACCAGCATCTGCTTGGTTTCTGGTGGGGGCCCATGTGCTACATCAAAACATAGCAGAGAAGTTCAGAGGGGAAGTAGATATATGCAAAGAGGAACCAAACAGGAGAAACGTCACTTTATAACAACCCATAGTCTAAGGAACTAATACATTTCTGGAGAACTAATCCAGTTTCGAGAGAGAGAGAACTCACTACCACAAGAACAGCCACTCAAGCTGTTCATGAGAGATCCACCCTCATGGCCCAAACAACTCCCCCTGGGCCCTGTCTCTCAACACCACCACATTGGGGGTCAAATTTCAATTTGAGTTTTGGTGGGGACAAATAAACCATATGCAAACAATAGTATATATGGAATAGGCAGGATTTTTATTTACTTAAAAAATGTTTACTGAGCTTCTACTTTAATATACTTCCTCTAAACTCCTAAAATACTTTTTTCTTGGACTTTCTTAAAACATATCACTTTCATACCTTGTTTTATAGAATTACACTTATTCTAACTCATCTACTGAATTATAAGCATCTCAAAATCAGAAGTTATATCTGATTTATTGTGTATCCCATACAGTATTTATAATGCCTTCTTTAATAATATATGTCAGAGGAAAGTGATATGTTTTCTCTTTTAGCATTGAACTATATATCAGTTTATATTTCTTCCTCACAATTATCACATTGCCATAATTATTTGTTCTCATGTCTGCTACCTATGCTCAATTCTGAGTCCCTGAAGGGCGGGGGG